GGGAGAGGGAGAGAGAGAGAGGGAGGGAGAGAGAGAGAGAGGGAGGGAGAGAGAGAGCGCTGTGACCAGGAACTGTGCCAGACAAGGTCTGAGCTTGAGTCTGGGCTCTCGTGCTGGTTCTGTGACCCTCTCTGGGTCTCCAGGGCGCGACGGATGCTATTCCCTAATTTCGATGACACCTGGCATGCTGTGGGAGCACAGCGGGTGTGTGGGATGGGTGCTGTGCCTGGCTAACATCCACATGGGCCTGGTCATGTGTCTGCTCTGGGTAGAGGGCTGGCTAGGCTCTACAGTCCTGTGTAGTATGAAAGATGTTCTCACCCACCCAACCCAGCTCACAGATGGGGAAACTGAGGCTCAAAGAAGACAGGGACTTGCCCACCTGGAGAGTGGGCTGCAGGCAGGGCTAGCACCAGTTCCTGACACCCAGTCTGGAACCATGTGGCCGCATCCCTGAACTCCTGCAAAGGAAGGGAATGGATCCAACTTCTGTGCCCAGTGCCCCCCACCCCCCGTTTCCAGGTGAGACCAGGGAGGCGGCAGCAAGAGGACAGCAGGGCAGTCTCCCAGGCTCCGAGGGGAGCAGTGCAACTCTCTGGCTTATCATTAGTATTGTTTAAGCCCAGTATGAGAGCAGCTCACCAGCTCTGAAAACAACAACATAATAAAATCATTTTGCACTTGCTGTCATTTATTTCCCGCCGTAGCTTTGCAAAACTGAGCTCCTTGAGCTCTTGCAGCCCTGTAAGCAGTCACTGTACGCACTTGCAGAAGAGGACACGGAGAGCCAGAAAGGTTTATCCTGTGCCCAGGGCTGCAAAGTAAGTTCAAGACAGACCAGGACTCCTTCCAGGTCTCCTGACACCAAAATCTGGGGTGTCGCCCCATTGGGTCACTGAGCCATGGGCACGCTGTGTCTAGCTATGCTAACGCCCAGATATTCCCGGGCCTGATGGTGGCAGCTGGAGTCCTTGGACTCCCCAGCAGAATCTGCAGTGCAGAGGGTGAGAGGCCCAAAACTCTCCTGCCCGGGTTCATTTGCTCAGAGTGCAAGCACTGTACCAGTGTGGGGTGACCCCAGGGCCGAGACGAGACACGGAGTTTCCTTGAGCCAAAAGGAGATGAGCCTTCCAGCACTGTGACATGTAGGGTCAAAGACATGTTCCCCAGGAGGCTTCCGTAATAGAGCAGAGGGATGATACTGGGAATATCTGAAAAGTCAGTAAATGAGGCGATTGTGGCTACAAGACGGTGGGTCTGGGTGGGTCCTGAATGATCTCCAGAGGACGGTAGCCAGTCGAGAGCCGTGCTCTCGAGTACTCAGAGAGACATCAGATTTGCTTTCTGGTGTTTTGGAGAATGAAACAAAAGGCAAAAGGAACGAGCTGACCGATTGGTGGTGAAGAGCCTTGAGTTTGGGGTTAGGACTGACGTGAGCAGTCTTGCCCTCGACCTGGCCAGAGGGGGCCATGTCCTGGGCCCTGGATACTGAGGGACCCACACCTCCCCACGAAATGAAGACTTCATAGGGCCAAGGGGATGTGCCCGCCCAGAACCCACATCCTCCCTCTAGACCAAGCTCTAGGTACATGGGACACGGAATTCTTTGCTCAAATGCCTTGATCCTGCTTCCAGAAAGTGCACAGGCATCTTCCCTGGGCCCACCCTCCTGAGGAAGGGCTGTGCCACCTGCGTGCTTGGCTTGAGACCGGAGGGGAGACATCTCTGAGTAACATGTGGAGGCATAGCCTGCAGTGTCCACTTGGCGTGAGGACGCCCCTTTCCGTACTGGGGTGTCGGGGCGGGGGGGCGTGAGGTGGGCTGTGGCATGGGGCCAGCTCAGCTCCCCCTGCCACGTACAAGGCTGCACTCCAAGGAGCCCAAGAACTCTAAATTTGAACCCAGCCTTGCCAAGTGTTATAAGGTAGGAGGATAGAACATATTTCATTTAACAGTTTGTAAGCTGGAATTAGAAATCCTAACGATTCATGTGGATGGTTTGTGAAACTGCATTGGCACGATCGCCCCATCGGTAAACCTTAGGAGCAGACCTAGGTGTGAGTCTTGGGTGAAGCCACAGAGTCCAGATCTATCAAATACGGCAAGTGTCCCCCTTCCTCGGGGCTCCCAGCTTCCTCATCTGCAAAGTCAAGGGCACAGTGAAAGCCCTTCCACCTACTATGGCACAATTCTGACACCCTCCGGCTCAGCACTCAGCCAGCCCCCTGTAGCCCTTGATCACAAGAATGAGTAAGCTTCACCAACAGTCCGGTCTGAAGTCATTAACTTGTGCTGGCGAGTGGCGCCCTCAGCTGGACAGGGAGAGACGGGCTGCAGCACCAATGTCCGGGCTCCCCTTCTATGTCTCTGGTGGCACCAGGGAGAGGATACGGTTATAATTGGTCTGGAGTTGTGGTTTGGGAGAACTGAACCAAGCACACTGAGCGGTTGGAGACCAGGTGGGTTCCCAATTCCTTTATGATTATAGTAACTCGAGAAACCACCCCAGAAAGGCAGGAGTGGGCGACGTCTCTCAGGTCCCTGATTTAATTTAGAGCAGAGGGTCTCTGACCTTTTGGGGTGGGGGTGGGGTAAAGCAGAGGAGTCCAGCCTGTCACTCACTGCGTTCAACCCTCTGCAGGAGGGTTAAACTAGGGAGCTTCCCGACAAATGCCAGCCTGGGCCTCAGGGAACTCAAAATTAAGTCCCAGGAGGCCATCAGTGTGGTGGCTGTTAAGTGAATCTTCCAGTGAGCAAAGTCACCTCCACCTGCCACCCTGGCTGCCCGGATAAGGAAGCCTGGCTTCTGCTGATCTGGGACTGGACCCCCACCCTCCCCGCCCCCCAGCTCCCAGCACCAACTGGCCAGGAAATTTCCTGAAGCTTTAGTGCCTAAGGCTCGGGGGACCTAGGGGCAGCCCCCCCGAATTTAGCTCTGCAGTTTCTCATCTGTGGGAAGGAAGAGTTTGGAGACGCCAAGAAAGAAGCCTGTGAATCCGCCGTCAGGGAGCTGGTGCCCTCCCGTGTGGCCCACCACCCATGCTCTCACTCTGGGAACCGACCCCACAGAGAAGGGCAGGTTGTGGTCACTGACGGGGCAGTGCTGTCCCATCTGCCCACTATTCCATAAGCTCAGGCCAGCCCTCAGCCAGCGGGGCCTGTCTGAACTGGCCGAGGGCAATCCTCCCACCAGAAGCCCTTCCTTTCCCCAGCGTAGGCCCGCATTGCTCCTTGGCCCTGCAGGACCCTGTCCGTGGCTCTGGGAAGAGGGTCTCCTCAGAGCCTCCTGGGCTCAGAACAGTCAAACTTCCCCGGAGGGAAGTGGAGGACAGAAGAGAGGACCGGAGGGCAGCCGAGCAACCGCCTCTTTTCCTGATACCCCTGGGAGCTCTCTCTGTAGTGTCTGGCCTGGAGTCCATGAGAGACCGGCAGGATTGGAGCCGACCCTACATCCTAAATGGGCTGAAAAGGAGCCACCGCCCTCCTGTTCTGGAAGTTGGAGGGAGAGCGGGGACGGGGTTTATACTGGTCTAGATAAGAATTGATTCCTTTCCCATCTCATTCCCTCCTCCGCTGTTAGACTCATGGCAAGTGGGCTTACTGTAGAAATTGTCCAAGTTCCGAGAGTTAAACAACATTGCCTACAGCTTCTAGAGCAGTCCCCGTGCACGTCCTAGGAATGATGCACCTTCTAAAGTGAGGTCCTCCCACCCCAAGGTGATAGGAAGGGGAATAGCTCTGTGATCCTTAAATGACATTGAACCATGCATGGCCACATGCAGTGAGTCCGTGCATGCCTTTGTGTCAGTGTGCAGGAGGGCCACACCTGTGACATGGAATGATCTGTTACCCATGCAGTTGATATATGAACACATAGGACTGTGTGTGTGAGGCTCACACAATTTCATACATGGTTCATATGCCCTGGTGTCATTTACATGTACATATTGTACATGATTCTGGGAGGAAGATTCTGTGGCTAGAAGCTTTGGTCCAGCATGTAATCTGGAAGGGCCATCCTGAGGGGAACAATGGACACACGCGTACATGTCCTGTGTTCAGACGCAGTGAAGTTCAAGGTCTTCTCTTTGTATTGCTCGTGGGCAGAAAAACCCCAGAACTGAAGGAGCTCTTGGTCACACTGGTCTGTCCAGTGTCTGTCCCTCTCAGCCACAAGCTTCTCCCTGGCCGGGGAGGCATCGGCACGACAGGGGCCGAGCTCCCTCCCTGCCGCTGGCCTCCTCCACACTGGTACATTCTGCCTGCCTCGCTTTTCACACCATCTTGACACCAAAACCTCCCTTCTAGCGTCTGGGGCACCAGGATATAAAACAGCAGAGTCTACTGCAGGTGCGCCAGCAGCCATTCCCCTCTTCTCTGGGGGAAAGCCAAGGTGAGCTCAGGACACCTCAGCTAAGAGTTTCCCCCTTCTCTCCCCAGAGGCTCCGAAGGATGGCAGGACTTCCCAGGGGCAGGGACAGGGGCAGGGGTGGGGGGGGGGCGCGGTACATGAACCTGAACTGCCCGCCCCGAGCTGCCTTCCTGAGAAACAGAGGCCAGGTGAATGTGGAAGGTGGGCAGGTTTTGTCACCGGAGCCTCAGGATGACGCTTTCCCTCTGCAGGGGTTCCCAGGCTTCAAGTCCAGGAGACACGGGACAGTGCTGTCTGGGAAGGGTAGGAAGAGCACCCCCGTCCCCTCAGAGCCCTTCAGACACTCCTTTAAGGACCCACAGAGGAAGGTGCAGCCCGAGGACTCTCACACACACAGGAGGAGACAGAGGCAGTGCCAGACACCAGAGAAAGGAAAGACCCGCAGAGCAGCACGTTCCTGTCTGAAGAGCTCTTCAGGAGCGCCCTCAGCATCCAGGCCACGCTCTCAGGGCCTGACTAGAACCATGCAGAGCAGTGAACAGAGATTACTGCCTTTCCATATGCTACTTAAAGTGAAGACAAGCATAAAATAAGTATAAAGCCCAGCAAAGTTCGGCTCCTCTGTGGTCTCTACCCTAATGCTTCAAAAATGTACCTATTTGTTTCACCCACGATTTTTGGTGGTCCTGCTTTGCTGATGCTCTAAGCACCTGTCTTGAGACGGGCAACGGTGGCCCTTCTCCCCGACCTCAGTTTTCCAAAAAGGAAAAGGAGGCTCGGTGTTAAAGGGTCTTGCCCAAAGCCACGCGGCAGAGCCTGGGGGAGACGAGGACGCCCTTCCTCCCACAAAGACACCCCTCCCCCAGCGAGTGCGCGCAGCCCTTCCCAGAGCCCTCACCTGGGGTGGATGTCCACGAGCAGCACAAGCGTCTGCATGGTGATCACGTCGATGCGTCTGCAGTGGAAGCGGGCCACCCTGAGCACCTTGAGGTACGTGCAGCAGAGCACAACGAAGGAGAGCAGGAAGCTGAGCGCGTGGAAGGCACCCGTGAACACGGCGAAGCGCAGCCGCTCGTCCGGCCTCCGGCTGCACAGCGTGCAGGACGCGTACAGCTGGTGGAAGCCGAGCCAGGACAGGACGACCGCGGCGGCGGGGAAGGCGAGCGCGTGCAGCCACGTGTAGGCCACCATGAGCGCGGCGTCGCGGAGGCGCATCTTGGCGCGGTAGCTCAGCGGGAAGACCACGGCCACCCAGCGGTCGATGCTGAGCGCGGCCATGCTGAGCATAGAGTTGGCAGCCAGGAAGGTGTCGAGGAAGGCGGCCAGGCGGCACAGGCGGTCACCGGCCGGCTGCCGCTGCGCCACGACGCCGGCCAGCGTGAGCGGCATGTTGACCACGGTGCACAGCAGGTTGCCGCACGTGAGGTTCAGGGTGAAGAGCGCCGGCGCCTGGCGGCGGATGTCGGCGCTGTGCAGGAGGCAGAGCAGTACCAGCGCGTTGGACAGCAGCGAGACGCCCATCGTGCCCACCAGCAGACCCGCCAGGCCCGCGTCCCACGAGTTCATGGTGCGCGCCCGCCGCCGGCCCTCAGGGCCCGCACCCCGGCGCCGCCATGGCGCCGCCCGCTCAGCCCCTCGGCGCCGCCGCCGCCATGGACCCCCGGGGGGCGCGCGGCCACCCCGGAGCCCCGCGCCACCTCCCGGGCCGGCAGCTGCGCGCTCGGCTGAGCCCTGGCGCCCGCGCCACCTCCCAGGCAAGCGCCGGTGCGTCGCCGAACCGAGAGCTTAGAGCGCCCTGGGATCCCGGATTGCGGGCGGGCGCCTGCTGCCCGGCTCCGCCTCTGCTCCCCCTGCCCTCGTCCCTTCCCTCCGCGCTCCGGCCCCGCTCCGCGCCCTCTCCGACAGCCTTGCTTTCTCCTCCTCCCCTCTCTGCTCGCTCTCCCTTTCCGCTCTCCCCTACACTTGCCCCCTCCCCCTCCCTCCCTCCCTCCCTCTGTGTGTGTGTGTGTGTGTGTGTTGGCGCTTCTCTCTCTCCCACTGCTGTTCTCTCCGTCTGTCTCTCCCGCTCTGTCTCCTCCTCGTCTCTCTCTCCAGAATCTGGCTGCTTCTGCCACAGAATTCCCGCTGATGCGCGCCACTGCGCGCGCACACACTCGGAAAGAACCAGCCCTGAAGCCTCCGGTGCAGGGTGATTGGCTCTTTGTAGCTTCCTGTCCCCCACCCCCACCCCTGAATCCTTCCTTACGTGTGAGTCAAGAAAGTCTGCCTGAGAAAAGGGAGGGATGTCTGGGCACCTTCATGCCTCAGGGCCACCCGTCCCAGCCCAAGGGCCAGCCTGGCCAGACCTTGGAGGTCCTACCCCACCTGTCCTAGCTGGGCCTCCCAGAGCTGATGCCTCTCCCTCTCTGGGCTGAGCTGGGGGAGCTCAGGTAAGCTGCATTTGCTGAGAGGGGAAGGAACGCACATCTCTCCAACCTCCATGATCAAGACCCTGGCCCCAGCTATCTCCAAGGCCTCCCCCACCTGTCCCCAGGGCAGCTGCTACACTCCTGGGGGCGCTTGGTTTACGGTGCCCTTCAGCTGGGGCCTCAGCAGCATCCTCAAGCCAGCAGGCGGGGGGGGGGGGGGGGCGCTGAGGT